TTTTTGTGTGCTATCAGACCTTATTTTTAACATTTTGACAGTCTAATAGAAACCCTAACCTTATATGCAAGAAAACTTTTGCATTAAATGCCTTTGCCATTTTCTAGAAATATAGAAGCTCAGTGTTATATTTAGTGTCGAACATGATTCAGTATAACAGAAAATCGGAAAATGTATTCATCAATACAATAGCATTTGCTTATTAGATGTATCTTTCAAAATACAGACAAAAACCAACCCAATCTTTAGATGATGAGGAGACTAATAAAGGCTTTTTGTGACAACATAATTGACAGCCACTGAAATGAAGTATTCTCAATTCTTTTATATGGCGGTTATATAGATTATACAGCAGTGTGTCTCACTTAAAAAAAATTATGGTATGCTTATGGGCTTTTTTTTTTAATCCTAATAAGCTTTCTGTCCTGAGCAATATTGAAAGTTTAATATTACAGATGTGCTTAGTAGAGATGGAGATAGAGATGTATCTCTATGTACTGTGGCTCTTTGGAAGGCCACAAACTATTTTAGCATCTAAATAGTGATTGCCCGCTCCTAGAATGTTTGACCTAGAGTGATCATTCTAGGTATTATTCCAGCCATGTTATCATGCTAATTCCCATGCCATCCAGAACTTCTCTGTATGTCACTCTGTTCTTTCATATACTCAGGAAAGGAAAACTAAATCAAGATTTACTCCTAAACAAGGGCTTCTCCAATCTTTCTGTCTCAAAGAGGAGTTTACAGTGGGCAACACAAGGACTGGGGCAATAAGTAAAAGAGGACAGTACTCGGTTTTTTAGTGTAAGACGTTCTCTGTAAGTCTGTTTTATCTCAAAAATGTATGCAGACTCTGTATTTTACTCCTTCGTGTATCTATATTCATGTCAGTGTTTTAAAATATTAATGACCTTATATCCTTTAATAAAATTGGTACTCCAGAAGATGAACTACTTATAACCTGTGGCTCACATTCTTGTACTTATTTTGATACTGTTGCAATTACTCAAGAGTTCAAAAATACCTTGACCATGGATGGTAGCACTAGAACAAACACACTCTCTTCCAAAATAACTATTTTTAAGGATGATATGTATTCAGGGACAGAAACTCCATAGGGTTGATAAAATTTATAGTTATTTCAGTGTGCTCCCAAACTGCAATATAGTAACTTTTAGGGGACCAGAAGATAGTTTCATCTTCATTTCGTTGCTTTTTTCCACTACCTTACACATTCAAAAGTGCAAAAGTAAATAAGGACCTGGTATAATCCGCTCTTAGATATTGTGAAAAGAAAAGCGGAAAAAGTGAAGGCTGCTTCTGAGCTTTGGGAAGAGAAAAAAAGAGTGATTGGTTCTAAGCAACTTCCTTTAATGGTCAACGCGGAAATGATCACCTCCTCCCATCTTTTTAACGGTTTCCACTACTAGTTGGGGCTGCACCAGATCTTGCTTTTTAATACTCCGTTTGAAGGCTTTCTGTAGAATCAGATACTCACAACAAATTTTTTGGTCTTTCTTCTCTCACACTTCTCTGGAATGCCTGTTAATTTATAGTAATTGCTGGTCTACAGCATTTGAGTATAGCAATTATCATTATAAATATGAATTCATTGTCTTGTTAATGGTCTCCTCAGTCCATATCTCCTGTATATTACATTAATTTTCATACTACCTGATTGAAAAGGGATAAATAATGCCTCTAAACACAAGATATTTTTTATAAAAAATAGATCTGGAGAATGAGAATTGTGAAAGCAAATTGCTTAGCCCAAGATCTTAGCAGCCAAACTGAGATTTAAGATTTAATTGTCAATCATCCTATTTATTAGAGGTATTCCTGGCTATGACAGTATTCATCCCACGTGTATACAAAGCTGTTCTTTTCAAACATGCCCGGCATTCACATGCCCATCTTAGCTTCTGGACAGACATAACAATATTAAAAATCTCTTAGAAAATTACCTGTAGAAAACAAGGTAATTGTTTTCTAAATCTAGTACTTTTCTATCAAAATCTAGGTACTTTTCTCATCTAAAAGTGTCTCAGAACAGATATGATTTAAGTGTATGAGCTTTTTTGGTAATTGATTAAAGGAAACCTTTCAAGTATTTCTAATAGTTTTTGAAAATGATTAAGAGCAAAACGTAATTGATTGTCCAATCCTGTATGACATAATGAAAATACTTAATAGGAAAATACATGGAACTACAAAATATACTAAGAGATGCAATTTAGCAGATGGTAATTGTTTGAGATGTTTAATTTCAGATACAAGAAACAGTAGATATTAGCAAGAACCAGAAATTTTGCGTTTTTATATATGTGCATTCTTTAATATATAATATCTACAGCTGTAGTGTTTTTTTTAAAACTGGACACTATGCTACAAAAAAGGAATAAAGATAAGTCTGTCATCATGGCCAGGCGCAGTGGCTCACACATGTAATTTTAGCACTTTGGGAGGCCAAGATGGAAGGATTATTTGAAGATAAGAGTTCGAGATCAGCCTTGTCAACATGGTGAGAATTCATCTCATTTTAAAAAAAAAAGACGCCTGGCACAGTGGCTCACGCCTGTAATCCCAGCACTTTGGGAGACCGAGGCAGGTGGATCACGAGGTCAAGAGATCAAGACCATCCTGGTCAACCTGGTGAAATCCTGTCTCTACTGAAAATACAAAAAATTAGCCAGGCATGGTGGTGCATGCCTGTAATCCCAGTTAGGAGGCTGAGGCAGGAGAATTGCCTGAACCCAGGAGGTGGAGGTTGCTGTGAGCCAAGATCGCGCCATTGCACTCCAGCCTGGGTGACAAGAGCGAAACTCCATCTCGAAAAGAAAAAATAAATAAAATAAAAATAAAAAGACATCCTATTTAATGTGGAAATAAATACATTTATCCTAGGGGCTTCTGTTTTATGTAAGTATTGATATTGCTAGAATTGTGTATAGGATGATGTTTTTACAAGTTACCTTTCTAAATCAAAAGATATATGATGTGATTCTCATGGAAAAATATCACGCGTCTTTTGATTTAGAAAGGAAAAATATTAAACAATAAATTGGATCATCTTTTATTATTTAAATTTATTATTATTGAAAATATCAGCCTACAATATCTCCTGAAGCCATTGGGAAGGTTGCTGAGGTGGCAGAAGTGGGGAGACAAGAGGAACACATTAAGCATGAGACGTTGGGTGTTAGCCTCACATCACCAATTCACGTAACTGTGTCCTTGAATTTGTTGTTTGGCATTTGTCGGTGGTCTAGGAGAAAGGTATTAAATATTGTTGTCTAGATAGTCCTAAATCCATAAGCGTATTTCATGACATAAAGTTGACATTTTAAAATGAGTATATGGGCCGGGTGCAGTGGCTCATGCCTGTAATCCCAGCACTTTGGGAGGCTGAGGTGGGTGGATCACTTGGGGTCAGAAGTTCAAGACCTGCCTGATCAACATGGTGAAATTCCATCTTTACTAAAAAAATACAAAATTAACCAGGCATGGTGGCGCATGCCTGTAATCCTAGCTAATTGGGAGGCTGAGCCAGGAGAATTGCTTGAACCTGAGAGGTGGAGGTTGCATTGAGCCAAGACTGCGCCATTGCACTCCAGCCTGGGCAACAAGAACAAAACTCCATCTCAAAAAAAAAAAAAAAAAACACTGAGGCAGGTGGATCACGAGGAGGTCAAGAGATCGAGACCATCCTGGTCAACATGGTGAAAGCCCGTCTCTACTAAAAATGCAAAAATTAGGTGGCATTCGCCTGTAGTCCCAGCTACTCAGGAGACTGAGGCAGGCAAATTGCTTGAACCCAGGAGGCGGAGGTTGTGGTGAGCCAAGATCGCGCCATTGCACTCCTAGAGCGAAACTCCGTCTCAAAAAAAAAAAAAAAAAAAAAAAAACCCAAAATGTATACATGTATGTGTATATATATGTGTGTGTGTGTGTGTGTGTGTATATATATATATAGAGAGTGTGTGTGTGTGTGTGTGTATATATATATATATAGAGAGAGAGAGAGAGAGAGTGTGTGTGTGTGTGTGTGTACCTATTTGTCTAGGCTTTTGAGGTTCAGTGCTATACATAAACCAGGAAATACATGATGAAAGAGCCCTGTCAATTTAGCTAGCCCGTGATCTGGGACCTGTGTGAGATGGTGGCATATAATTATTTCTTTTTTCTCTTGATGTTGCTGTTCATTCATGGGTACCAATGTCATCAGTTTAAATTTGAGGGACTATTATCACCAAGGGACTGATCTAGAACTCAATTCTCTACTCCTGTTATTTCTTCTAGGTTTGCTTTACATTGGAATCTGTATAAAGTGTTTGAGCAAAGCACTGAGTTTACTTCCATTCAAGCTATTGACTAACAGTAAAGTCACAGCATCTACTGTTTTCTTTTTTCTCCTAGCATCAGTAAGGCACAGATTAACTTGAAAATCAGCTAGGAAGATGCTACAGAGCATCTCTTTTAGAGCAGTTCTGCTGTGACATGGACGGGATTCAGGACGTGTGGGGACGTTCTATAGTGGGTATCTGTGAGCTTGTGAACACAGTTTCCTCTCATAGAAACCTCCCAAGATTGTTCCTCTGAAGAACCATCAGCCAGAGCCTGTGCTGTAGTAGAGCATGAACTGTATTGCTAAACAAAGTGAAAATATTCCCTTTTTAGGTAGTTATTCTGATTTTTTTTCTTTCTGTATGTCTCTGACCACATATGGCTTGAATAATCAGATGTGGAATAGAGAAAGAAATGTGTAAATTTCTCAGTGGAACTACCAACACACTCTACCTTAATTTTCTGTTGTTCAGAATGAGGGTAATACTACCTATCCCACAATAGTATGGAAAATGGCGGCGGGGGGTGGGAGGGAGTTTATTTGTAAAGAAAACAAGAAATAATGTTTCCATAGGAAATGAGATAATGCTGTTATGTGATCATGGCTTCATTTTTATCTCACTGTTTAAATGGTTTCTCTTTAAAAATGTGCACAGACAGTTCACAAGCACCAGCCAGACCCCCAAAACCACGACCCCGCAGGACTGCACCAGAAATTCACCACAGGAAACCCCATGGGCCTGAGGCGGCAATGGAAAACGTCGATGCAAAAATTGCAAAACTCATGGGAGAGGGTTATGCCTTTGAAGAGGTGAAGAGAGCCTTAGAGATAGCCCAGAATAATGTTGAAGTTGCCCGGAGCATCCTCCGAGAATTTGCCTTCCCTCCACCTATTTCCCCACGTCTAAATCTATAGCAGCCAGAACAGTAAACACCAACATGGAAAGCAATCGACATATTCCAAGAGTGTGGAAATGAAAGAATCGAGATGGAATTTAAGAGAGAAGTGTCTCCTCCTCGTGTAGCAGCTTCTCAAAGGAGACCGATGCTTGCTCAGGATGTCGACAGCTGTGACTTCCTTGTTTTTGCTAGCCATATTTTTAAATCAGGGTTGAACTGACAAAAATAATTTAAAGACGTTTACTTCCCTTGAACTTTGAACCTGTGAAATGCTTTTCCTTGTTTACAATTTGGCAAAGTTGCAGTTTGTTTTTGTTTTTACTCTAGTTTGGTTTTGGTGTTTTGATACTTGTACTGTGTTCTTCACGGACCCCTTGTAGCATGGTCAGGTCTGCTGTAACATTTCCCACCAACTCTCTTGCTGTCCATATCAACAGCTCAGTCATTCATTCATTTTGATCTCTACCATCCACATCCCTGCCCAGGTCCTCTTCCATTTCTCCCATTCACCAGATGCTTTAAAGCTTCTGATTTTCAACTGATCAAACTAATGCAGAAAATATAGATATATGTGTTCTTCACTACTGAGTTTCTTCTTTGGAAACCATCACTGTTGAGAGATGGGGAAAAGCTGAATGTATGAAGCATTTATTTGTCAATAAACTGCCTTTTGTAAGGGGTTTCCACATAACATAGAGGAGCTTCCCTTTCTAGTTTAAGTTTTGTGACCTTTAATCCTCCATATTCTAAGTCTGTCATCCCAGGGGTGTTACAACTATAAAAATCTAAAATATTAGAGAGCAATTACTACAGATGTGGAAGAGATAACACTCGTATAAGACAATGCTGTAATGAACTTATATAACAAGGTCCCCTGATATGCCTGCCTGCCTTTGAGGGATGCTGAATGAGAGGGCCATCTCCCTGAAATAGATTAATAATTTTCAGAATTAGACTTTATTTCCCATTTGAGTGATTACACTCCAGTTCCTAAGAGCTGTGGGAACAAGCTCATATTGCAGTGGAAATGTTAAATCTTCGATGCACTGTTAAGTGTCAAGGCTACTGTGGGAATGTTTTTTGCAAAGTTCTCAGTAATTTCCTCTCTCCAATCAAATTAGGGTTCATATTTAATTTGCAGATTGTCTCATTCATTGCCCCCCACTGCTCAATCAAATCAGGTGAAATAAATTAATATAGTTTTACCTTTTTTACAAAATGGTGGTTCTTCAGACACCATATTATTACTCTTAATAAATCTACAAATATTTATTGAGTGTCTGTGCTGTGCTTGGTGCTGTTAGGCACTGTGTTTTTAAAGCACATACTCTCAAAAGCTGATTCCAGCATAATGTTTTATTTTTGTTTTCCTATATTTTTTATGACAAAGTCTGTCTGATAGACAAAGCTTGGAGAAGGTTTCCCCCAGAGCTTTAGAATTTAGAATTAGCTGTTTTCCATTTCTAATAAGAAATTGATGGAGAAATGAGATGAAAATCATCTCTGTGTAAATGCTTGAACCCACAGAAAGTTTTCTAAATGTGGACTAATTGTGAGTTTGTGCATATTTCTGTGTCGCCTCTTTTCACTTCACATCTACGGTGATGTACAAAGATGCATCGGATAGTGAGCCTGCCTTCAGGACTTTAAAGGGCATGACTGAACATCTAGCAGATCTGATGGAAATTGATGTTATACAAAAGACCTGTAGACTAAGTTGACCCTGGAGAGGAGTTAATGCATTCCTTTGCAAAGCGACATGTGCCCTTTTTTTGACAGTCTGGCTTTCATGCTATGAGATGAGGACTCACAGGCCTTGGATAAATTCTGCTTTTGTATGAACTTTTTCAGATGGTTCTGAGCTGGTTATATCCCTGTAGGGCAATTTTTCATTTGTCTTAGATGTTCTTCCCATGAGCAGGTATATGACTGAAGTTTCTTACATTCTTTAAATTGCATTGACAAATTTTCTGTTGTTCTATGAACCCATGTTTTGTCATTATGATTTTTCACTTGTTTTAAGAGTTTCAGATGTCCCCTTGGAATAGCACTGTTTATTTTGGCCTTCTTATGATTGCTGATGATAGGTACAGTCTAACATCCAAAAGTTGCCACTTCATTGTGATAATATTGTTGCAGCATTCCTAATAGAGAATGATGTAAAATAAGAATGTTAGAAAACGTAGCACATTCTCATTCAGTTTATAAATAATACGTGAAAGTTTCCAGTGAGAATTTAAAAAAGAAAGATTGGTGATGATGCAGTAAACCTGGACCTGAAATTTGGGGCGGGGAGGAGGGAATCTATTTTGCAAAGAAAATTTACCAGCCTCCACCAAAATCTCTATGTCTTGTACTCATCAGCAACCGTTAGTATTGTCATTTGAAAAGAGTGAATCAAAAACTCATACAGAATGGAACAAAAAGGGGAAAACATTCCTGAAAGACCCATTGCTACCTATCACCTATGAAATTAAACCTAAAAAAATTTTTTTGAGAAAATAATGAAACCAAAATATTTTTTTAGATGTAAAACTCACTGCTTGTTGATGTTTGGAAGTGATCCACTTCGTTTCACTGTGATCCAAAAAGTTAGACATTCCTTCCATTTCTCAAGATTTGGTAACACAAATATTTTCTTAAGTCAGCATTTCATATAATCCATAAAATTATGACAAATTAGATATGTGGCCAATATCATCCTTCTCCCCCAACTTAAACATGTTCTGGAGGTAGAAGGACTTATCCTCAATTATATTCCAGTAAATTTTTCTCCATAATTTGTTTCTTCCCCTAATGTATGATGTATCCTCACCAAATTTTTCTAGAATTGAATAAAAGCAGTTTATGCTTAACTTGAATTTCCTTCCATAAACATGACCTTCCGCTCTTCCCTCTCCGTTTCCCCTTTGCCCACATCACAAATCATCTTCATAATGAGCCCTCATTGCAACTTAAAAGTCCCCATTTGTTAACTCAGCATTTCATACACCAAGAACACTTGCAAAGATTTCTTCATAATGTGAATTTTTTATTTTTCGGTTCCAGAAGCATTTCCTACAGTTTGAACATTATTTGTCCTCTCAGATTTTCGACTTGAAGCTTTGATTTGCACTGAAATAACTTGGTTAAAATTTTAATTTCTCGCTTCAACTAACTGATTTGGAAGCAAATTACAGTGTATTTGAATAATTCAGGTACTACCTGTTGACCTGGAATTTTAGTGATTCTGGGAAATTTTTCCAGACAAAGACACCAATAGAGTGAAGGGTTTTTTCCCCAGTTGCTATTTTATTGTTTTTTAAAATGCCTTTTTAAAACTTGTGTAATGTGGCACAATAGTCATATGTTCAATTAATTTATATTTTATTCATTCCTTTTCAATTCTGGTTATTATGTAACCTCAAGTACTTTATCTGTTCTTTTAAGATATTTTATAAAATGAACATTAACTAAATGCTGAGTTGGTACTTTATTTTTCAAATGAACACAAACATTTTAGAGCATTTCTTTGTTGTAACTTTTCTTCTTCATGTCTAATTGAACAAAGTGGTGCAAGGCAATTCTAGGTAATGTAGTTATTAAATACCAAAACCATAATTTTAAGATAGTATAATAGATAAAATTGCCACTAGATTATAGATCTGAAAGTCAAAGTTGTATCAAGTTCCAAGTAAGAAGTACAGGAAATGCTGAAAGTCTTCAGGGTGATGAACTGTAATATATAATTGATAATTTCTGATCAACAATACTATCTGGTCTTTAAATTCCTCATTTCTTAAATCATTTTTTTCACTGGTCAGTATATAGTGGGAAGAGAACAACACAGATAACAATGTTAATAATTGCTATTATGTAAGAATTGTGGCAGAATATTCTGAAATTGCTACATGCAAAGTTCCACACACAGTGATAACAATTACTTCCTGGAATCACGTACCATGAAGTGGGAGATACACATAAGCAAGTATGTTGTGTATAACATACCATATCGTACTAGAATTACTGCTGCATGGTACGTGCTTACGAACTAATGATTGAGTCCTTAGTATGTGCAAGGAGCTTAGTGTGGACGCATTGAATGCTTTCGACACTACCTCTTCAGAACTGTGGAAGGGAAGTTGGGAATGAGGTTTCTAATAGAAAGTTTGAGAAGCCGTTAAGACTAAAGAAGTCTTTTGTAAGCTTAAAAGAAGCAAGGTTTTGTTAGTACTAAGAAAGAAATTCAGAGTTAAAACTTTTCAAATAGGAGGAGCACACATGATAAAATACTGATATTTAAGCAAAGGCGAGATGCCTCTCATCATCGCTGCAATGCTTGGAGAAGACTTGTTCTCCTCTCCTAAAAGTCCCCATGGGAAACCTCTGTAGGACTCATTAAGAGGCTGGTGGCAGAACTTCCACTCCTGTATCCTACGATTCATCATAAACAGAAGAGGATGGGCTGGAGGGTTGACCTGGGAAAAGTGAGTGATGAATGAGAGCGTTCTGGGTTGGGTCCACTTCTCCCAGTACAACTAATGATGGCTCCCAGAGAGCACTGATTATAGATATTAGGGAACTGGCATTTCGTTCTATTGGAGTCCACACAGTGGACTTACTGATCTCTCATCTGTGGTTACAAGAGCAGAGCAGAACAAAACTAGAGAAGACTCAGCAGTGAATCAGCTGATAAGCATCCCCACCATAGGGAGGGCAAGGATACATCATACTCCCCTGGGACAGGCAGAGCCCTGTCGAGGCAGCTGAGCTGGAGCTGTTTTGGCAGGACCCAAGAAGGCCATCTGCCAGCCACAGTAACCCAAGCAGCAAGAGGCTTTGGGGTCTACACTGCTGGACCAGGCATGAGGAAGTCAAGCCAGTGGCTATCTGATGTATCTTATGTGTGAGACACTAACCCAGTGAGCAGCCTCCCACTTGAGCTTGACAACAAAGTCCACATTTGAGAACTTCTGCACGGGTGAAATACAAACTCAAACAGGCCCTATATTAGCACCTGTGAAAAGAGTTTTACTCCTTTCCTTAACTCTTACTCCCCGACCCCAGTCCCAAAGAAGCAGAAATGTAAGAATGAAGAGGAGTGGTAGAAAAGAGTGCATCTCGCCCCTTCTCTGCTCTTAGTCCCTGAAATTATGGGCTGCCCAACACTGGGAGGCAGTGGACAGTCCAAACTGAATTAGAATTCAAGTGATTATACAAGAAAAGATAGTTAAATAGTCAAAAGAAGTGATTACAGAAACAAATCTCAACAGACCATGTTGGCATCTCATTAGGTTCAAGGTGTTTAGTAAATTAATTACTAAAAAAATCCAGACGTTTTATTTCAAATGAACTTTAGTGGTTTCCTTAGCTCAACAAAAACACTTATAGTCAGATAGCCATCATTAGAGGGTCCTTCTCTGGGGAGATAGTGTGGGGTGTACAGATCCATTTTATTTCTCTGGAAATACTTTCTGCCTGGCAAGCTCAGAGGGCCCACCCATGGAGATGCAAATTCTGCCTAATCCCTTCCAGTCTTTTGAGCAGAGACCCTCTCCTATGTCACTTAGCAGTGTAGGGCCCAGTCTCACCCAGTTCTTCCTTCACTGCAAGCATTGCTTCTCCCTCAGTAAACTATTCAAACCTCATTTGTTAGCTTGTTTATGAAATCAATATCAGGGACATGAAATAAAACATATTGTAGCAACTTCCCTAGGACATCGAGGACTGTCCTAAAACTACTCTCAAAAGGAGCTAAAGAACCATTCCAATGTAAAAGGCAAAATATCCTTGCAGAAAATTAAACTTAACCACAAGTACCTAGGCCCTAGGCTATTTAGACATGAATCAAAAACAGCAGTACCAAGGCACTTATTTGTATAAATGTTTAATCAAGAATGATGCGTAATGTCTATCTGGAATTTCTTACAAAAAAAGGGAGGATAGATGGTCTAAAACAAGACTAATATATCTCTACTGGGCATTTTAATCAGTGCTAGCATAATTAAATATTTATGCAGCATTTGGGGTTTGGGAATGTTTTCTGTTTCATTTTCAAAGCTGTATTTCTCAAAATTCTTGTAAAGTGGGTCCATTGCACTTGATAGCTCCTCTTTGCACATAGAATTTCTAAAGCAGAGAACATAACTTTTCCTGAGTTATGCAACAATTGACAAGAGCTAGAATTATAATCGTATCAAATAGTCCCACTTCATGCCTTAGGTATTAAAAATAGACCTAAAAACAATCAGGCAAGATCTAAGCAAACCTTCTGTGGGCAAGAAAGAGAATTTAAAATGAGTAAGTGACTTTCACCTCCTACTGTTGTCACATATTGCAGGAGATATTACCCAGAAAGATAACTACATGTTGACATGATTGGGCTGTTCCCCACCCAAATCTCACTTTGAAATGTTGTTCCCATAATCCCCACATGTCATCAGAGGGACCTGGTGGGAGTAATGGAATCACAAGAGCGGTTACCTTCATGCTGTTCTCATGATAGTGAGTGAATCTCACAAGATCTGATGGTTTTATTCCCCCTTTTCCTGGGCACTTCTCTTTGCTACTGCCATTTGTATGAAGACGTGTTTGCTTCCCTTTTCACCATGATTGTAAGTTTCCTGAGGCCTCCCCAGCCATGCTGAACTGTGTGTCAACTAAAACTCTTTCCCTTTTGAATACCTAGTCTCAGATATGTCTTTACTGATGTGATAACTAATTCATGTTAAACATGACTAATACATGTAAACATGTTACTTATTTACTAGTTGGGGTGTTTTGTAAAAAATGATTTGCTAATTGGTCAGCACTATCCTGTAAAGTAAACAGAATCATGGAGTTGAAGCGGAGCTACATATGCACTGCAAATTTTGCAAAGAGATTAGCAACTTGAAAATATAGATGAGTTAAGCACTCTGCATTCTAAAGTGGCTTAGCACTATGGGTCTTTCTAGTGCCATTTTAAATGTGTGAGGGTTCCTGCTTATTTTTAATTAATTTACTGTTTACTACAAAGAGGAAAGGAAAAAAATTACCTTACTGTCTGCCATTTTTTAGCAAAAGAAAAGTGTTCTAATTGCTCAATTGAGTAAAAAGCTAATAAATAGGGAAGGAGAACAAATAAATATTCTCAGAGTAAATAAAAAAAACCTGTTTCATTTGTAAACCTTCAGTATGCGGGTACAGAAAAGCAATTTTGGCAGCCAGGCTATTAATCTATAAGAGGCTATAAACTTGTCATGGTGAGGACACTGCAAATTCAACTTGAATATACTTTTTTGCTTTTCATATTAATGACGTATAAAGACGCTTAAGCATCTCATCATCACTTTAGCACCTTGAGAAGACCAGTGTTCTTGTTCTCCTCTCAAAGGACCATTGCCACTTCAGTGTGTGACTTGTCAATCCTTTGTGACATTAACCCCTGAAATTAAACTCCCTTGAAGTTGAAGATGACAACCAGAGCCCTTAGTTTCCTTTAAAGATCACACACTTTCATTACACCTGGAAAATTTAAAAGTGTTCAAACCCTTCACGGTTGATTAAAATCAGATTCAAACTTCCTTTTTTTTTTTCAGGAGAATGGCCAGGTTATTTGATAAAACATTAGAGAGAAAATGCTTATTCACAGAATAGATCTAGCCCTGTTGTGGTTGATTGTGTGTTTGTTAGCTAAGTTCAACTCCAGTGTCCTCAGATTTTACTTTATGCTCAAATCTCTTCACCTAGAAAGTTAATATATGCCTCAGCATGTTGTGAAAATCCACAGGTGAGTTTAAAAAACCTTAAGTGGCTTCACTGATGCTCTCTATATTTTAAAGTATGCATTCTTAAATCCATTATGGTTTTTACAAAAATTAGGGGCTAGAACTCTCTTCCAATGGTTGTTTCCCAGCATCATGTAATATACTACTTCTACATATAATTCCAGTTCATCCAGGTTCTTAGAGGGAAGTTCGAGAAACTTGCTTGTCTCTGTGGGAAAAGCCTTCAGGTAGTTTCTGGCCTCAATACTGTTTACCTATAACTTCAGAGGTCATTAGTCCATGATCTCATTCTACTAATAACTTCATTGTCACATAGCAAGACTATCCAACATTCTGGTCCTGTTCAAATTTTTAATGTATAGTTAGAAACAATTAAGTTTATGTTAAAATAAATAATCTGGCTGGGTGCAGTGGTTGCATCTGTAATCCCAGCTACTTGGGAGGCTGAGGCAGGAGGATCACAGAAGGCCAGGAGTTTGAGACCATCCTGGGGAACATAGCGAGACAGGGTCTTGAAAATGAAATCTTTATTTTAGATTAGCCTGGCACAGAGGTGCATGCCTGCAATCTCAGATACTTGGTAGGGTAGCCTGAGGGGGAAGGGTGGCTTGAGGTGAGGAGTTTGAGGCTGTAGTGAGCTATGATTACATCACTGCCTTCCAGCCTGGGCAATAGAGCAAGACTCCCGTTCTCTCTCCCTCTCTTTCTT